ATATGAAATATTAAATATACATACACCAGAAAAATAACATTCTGGAGTTTCCTTTCTAGAAAATTGCCATGAGACCAGTAGCTTCTATCTATATAATCTCTAACATCAGATGTCAGTTTGTTAATTTGACAATGTTAATAAATAACAAAAAAGCATATAAGTTCAAAACTTCTACCATCCCTTAACACTCTTAGTTGTGAACATTAAGAATGACTGATTTATAAGTTGTTACAAAATATATCACAAATATCTAACCTTATGAAAGCTGAGTTGCAACAGAGGCTGAAGGCCAAACCTATAACACACACTTCACACTTATCTTTTGTTTCTGAACTAGAGATTATGTCAGCAATATGGCAACATGGGGAATATGGCAATAAGCAGAAAAGCAAGACTCAGTAGATTGTGCCTACACCTCAATTAAGAGTCTCCATATATTCATAATACTAAGCTAAAATTGAAGAAACATGAGCCTGGCTGGCATGGCTCAGTGGCTGAGCATCTACCTATGAACACGGTTCGATTTCTGGTCAAGGGACATGCCCAGGTTGCAGGCTCGATCCCCAGAGTGGGGTGGGGAGAGGTAGCTGATCAATGATTCTCTCTCATCATCGATGTTTCTATCTCTCTTTCCTTCTCCTGTCCTCTCTGAAATCAATAAAAATATATTAAAAAAATAAAAATAAATGATGACAAAATAATGACTTTTTCAATACCCAAAAGCTGGAAGAATTCATCATGGGTAGATATACACTATAAGAATGGTTTAAAAAAATTTCTTCAAGCACAAGGAAAATGATGCTAGGTGGAACTTTGGACCTACACAAAGGAAGGAAGAACACTGGAAATCATAACTTGGTGGATAAATATAAGACTTTAAGTCACTATTCAGAACTTGCTTTTATGTCTACTTTATTATGACCAGGCCTAAAAACCAGTCAGAAGTCTGGGGTTGGGGGAGGGGCTCATCCACTCTAATCCTCACTGCAGGATGATCTGGCTGGGATTTTAGCCTGCCAAATCCTTGATGTCAGAATCTTTGGGTCTTGGGTTCAAATTGTTTGTAAATTTGCACTTATCCTCCTATTTTCAGTGCAGTAATCCTGCCCTCAGCTGTGCTGCTGTCCTCCAGACCAGAGACCCTTTTGTTTTAGCCTCTGAAGATGAAAAACCTCCGGACCTCTGCCACAGAGAGGAAGGGCTGGCACTGGCTTTGCAGGTTCAAGGGTTTGTAGCTCCACCTTCATTCTACTTTGACTGCCCAACATATTCCCATGCCTTCTGTGGGCTCTGAAATTTAAATCAAGGTACAGCTTGGATTTCTGCATCACTGGCTTTAGATTCAGTTTCTCTGATCAGCTAAGTCAATTATCACTAGTCTATCTGCCTTCCAGCTTTCAAATGGTCTCTGTGTGTGTCTGTGTGTTTCCCTCTCCTGTTCTCTTCATCCTTGGCAATTTGTGCCAAAACAAAACAAAAAATAAATATGGTCAGAAACAAGTAACCCAGGGAAGTTTGATGCTTTTGCTTTGTTTTTGTTTTTTAATAAACACAAAGTGGAATTCAAATAAAATAAAATAAAATAAAATTTTCCTGGAAAAAGTATGGGTAAAACTATACCCCTATATTAATTCATGGTTAATGGATAAGATTATGGGGGATTTTATTTTATTTCTGTAATTTATAAATTTTTATAATACATAAATATGAACTTACTCTCCTTATCGTTAGATTATCCAATTATAGAAAATATAGATAATACTTAATAAGATATATAATCAGTTTTTTAAAATGCTCCAAAGCCCATCAGAGAGTTATAAACTGTTATTATGCTATTGTATGTTTTCTTCCAAGTAAATTTGCTGTTTCATACCAATTTTATAATGAAAATAATATTTTTTCTCTTTGTGTCCACTGTTATAGCTACTAATGGGCTAGTGGAAGAAGTTTAGTTTGAACCACTGTTGAAGCACAGTTGTTACTCAGAAGGAAAGGGGAGATCCCTGGGAGACTCTTCGCTTCTCACCTTAGTAAATAGGAAGGATTGGTTTACTAGATTTGCTAATTATCAGCTTGGAAGAAAGGAAGACCTCATGCAAATTCCCGGGGAGTGTCAAAAGACCAGACAGAATGGATACAGGATGCTAGGAGGCTGTGGGATAGAGAACCGTGGTGGAGGTGAGTAATCCTGGGGAGGAGGTGGCACGACTTGCCCGCTTTGTTCAGCACCAGTCCTGCATGTCAGCAAATATATGCCGTGTGGACTGTCAAACAGTGCCTCCAGCCAACCCGAGAAACAGGAATTGAAGGAAGATAGCTAGTGTTTGATGGAGACGAGGAGTTTCTTCACGGGCTTCAAATAAGCTGTCTTGTTCCCAAACCACATGCATGCATTGTCCCTGGCTTGGTGCTGCCATGGCATTTAAACGAGTGACCTTTAGCATGCCTCTGTGCAGGGCCCCACCATGAGGCGGCCCTGGAGAATGAACGTGGCATATTTGCAATCAATAGCATTCTGAAGATGTCATGGCTGCCTGCAAATATATCAGCATTTGTAATACTCATTTTGATTCCTTTTTTTTTTTTTGAAGCAGATAGGTTACTTAGTGCATTTTACTTTCTACTAATGAGTTACTGACTTTTGTTTTGATTTGGAACACTGAAGAGCACCCTGTATTTACAAGTCTACCCTTTCACAGACAAACCAGCCAGGTGGACTTTGCTATGTTAGTTTTGGTTCCTAAATTGTGGCAAATTCAAAAGGTGATAATGAATCTCTTGGCCTCTTACAAAGTCTTCCTCTTCCTCTTTCTGTACTATCTCTTTCTTTCTCTGGCTCTGTTTTCTTTCTTTCTCTCACTTTTTGTTAGGTTACTGTTGCATATCAGTCTGTTTATTTGGGGAAGGAAGAGATGGGTTGTATTGGCCATTCATTGTGAAAACAACAGTCTCAGCTTTATCACTAGATAATTTAAGAAAATCCCCTGTCTGTCATTAGGTAATTTCACCTGCCCAAATTAGCTTTTTAAAATCCCATCTAAATGAATTACTACCAGCAAAATTATAAAAGAATTATAATTAGAGACAGAAGATATAAGTAATCCCTGACTGATTGACAATGGATTTCTTTTGGAGAGGTTGAAAACATCATTAACATAAATTTAAAAGCTTATTTACTTTACAGAGGTTAACTATAGAGTGACCTCTGAGGAAGGGTGCGTTTTATAAAGTTAAGCACCAACATTGGGTTTACTAGTCCTTTGGAGAATGAATTTTAAATAAATTACTCAGTTTACCGAGGAATTGACCATCCTTACAAACTTCAACAATTCATTAAATGTTCAACTTTTCAATAACATGATAAAAGTGGCTCATTTGAAGTTTTTGGGTTGCTATTAGGCCAAATAATGCAATATTTTACATTCTGATTGCTGGGCAAGTGTCAGGGCATTAATTTGGTAAAAGAACAGTTGACTGCAGGGGAAATGTTTAAAGGAAAAATTTAAATTTGAGGTTATTCTCTTACTTTAAAGAAAAGATGGTATAATTGCTTTTTTAAAATTTCAATCTTTAGAGAGATTCTATCTGGGTACATAATAGAATTGGAAATACTTATACAGAGCTTCTTTTATGTCAGGTAATTTTCTAAAGTTTTACATATATGAAGCATCACACCCCCAGGACAAAACTCTGAGGTTAACATTGTCTACCCTCCTGCTTTGTTAAATTAATAAAATTTATTTTTTAGAGCAATTTTAGATTCACAGCAAACTTGAGCAATTTCCCATATACCTTTGCCCTCTTCTCCCCACTACCAACATCCCCCACCAGATGGTGAACCTACAGAATGTGTAGGTACACAATGGTGAACTTACATGGACACATCATTATTATCCAAAATTCATAGTTTACATTAGCGTTCAGTCATGGTGTAGCGCATTCTATGGATTTTGACAGCTGTACAATGACATATATTCAAGTATCATAAATGATCCTACCACTGTAGTATAACAGAATAGTTTTACTGCCCTAAAAATCCTGTGTGCTCTGCCCATTTATCCCTCATTCCCCAATCTTTGAGAACCACTTTTTTACTGTCTCCATAGTTTTGTCTTTTCCAGAATGTCATATGGTTGAAATCATATAATAACATGTAGCCTTTGTAGATTGGCTTCTTTCACTTGGTAATGTGCATTTAATTTTCTTCCATGTCTTTTTGTGGCTTGATAACTGATTTCTTTTTAATGCTGAATAATATTCCATCGTCTGTATATACCACAGTTTATTTATCCATTCACCTACTGATGGACATCTTGGTTGCTTCTAAGTTTTGACAATGATGCCTAAAGCTGCTGTAAACATCTGTGGGCAAGTTTTTGCATGGACATAAGTTTTCAATGTCTTTGGGTAAATACCAAGGAGTGTGATTGCTGGATCATATGATAAGAATATTTTTAGTTTTATAAGACTAAAACTGTCTTTGAAAATGGTTGTACCATTTTGCATTCCCGCCAGCAATGAATGAGAGTTAATGTTGCTCCACATCCCCACCAGGATAATAATGGGAAATTTTCTTTTTCCTTTTCCCCATTTATTCATTATTTATCATTCATTGAGTGCATATCAAACACCAAACACTATTAAGTGCTAAGAGAAAACAAGGAATAAGATAAGTCCTCATCTCTTAAAAAGTTTACAGTGCCAAATAGAAAGGTTTGTTGAAGAGGAATAGTTTTGCAACACAACAGTAATATACACAGTGCTTATATGTATGTAAATGCAATGTGCTTACTCTACTATTCTAGCTAAACCTTCAATGGAGTGGTCTCCACTATTAAAGTAGAGGAGGGAATCAGCTAATATTGTTTCAGGCTTACCCTGTAAATGCTATCAAAAGTTAACAGACAATATCATTGAATCTTGTTGGTTTACCCTGGGGGAAAATACTTGTACCATACTTGCCAACCTCAAGATGAGAGGACAAATGCATGTGGACTCACCACTTCTCTTCTTCTACTTGCACTCCTACGGACTGGAACTTACTGGGTGCTTTATTTTCCCCTGTTTTGTCAGGTTCTTCAGCATCATCCACCTAAAGAAATAATCAAATACGTAGAGGTGCTCCATTTTATTTATCTCACTTGAAAAACAAACGTCACATCTCACTAGAAACCTCTGTACTCTACTAGAATGTTTTGTGATTTGTAACCATTTTCTTCAATATTTTTGCATTTAATGAGAGCCATTACTACATTATTATAGCATGCACTTTGACTCTGCTGATCTTCATAAAATGCAATTTTAGTCACTTAAAATTTGCCTAATAAATGTTTGTGATTCCTCCATAGATTTGTATGTACTCACCTGTGAGCACTATGTTAGAAGGGAACACTACATGGGACTATGTTCTTGAAAGTTTTGAATTTGCAGATAACAAAATACAAAAGAAAGGAGAAAATTAATTGATTGTAGTCAGAATTATTGATTTTGGGAGATTTAGGTCTTTACCTCAAGATAAACTGTAGAATATCTTCACTCCCCCCTTAAAAGTTTCCATTTTAAAATGTACAGTTCCAGGGGTATTAAGTACATTCACATTGTTGTGCTGACATCACCACCATCCATCTCTCTAATTTTTGCATCATCTTATACTGAAACTCTATACCCCCATAGGTTCCTCGACTAGGAAACTTAATTCTCAAAATAATCCTATGAGGGATAGAGGAGGAAACAGGCTCAGGAAGATGAAGTAATTTGCCTAGGATGACACACAGGACCGACCTCTGCTCTTCCCTACTCCAAATCCTTCGGTGTTGGGAGGGTAATTAGCTTCTAGGAAGATGTGGAGGCTGGCTTTGGGCCCATGCCTTCTGCTGTGCCATTTAATTCCAAGCACCAGGGCTAGGAGTTCTTTTAGGAAACTTGACAACTTGTGTTATGGTAACCTGCAGGTTATAAAAAGCATTTGACTCATCACTATTAGAGAAAGTTTAATTACCCTTTAAAAGTGGACTCTGCAGAATGGACTGTGAAAATACATCATTGTTGTGAAAAATGTACCCCGCACCTGGCTTTTAGCTGTGCCCTATGTTGGTTCAGTGTGGATAGATTTATTGGACACCGCGTCAGGAAGTTATTATTCAAAGGGCACCTGCACAACAAAACCGGGGGAAAAGAATGACTCTTCTCCATTGATAAAAGGGTAAGCCAAGCTGAACAGATGGGAAAAACAAGAATTAGTTTGATGTTATCTTTGAGGAGCAGAAAATAGTGAGCTGAACTGACAGCCCTGATGAGTTTTCTACCATTTTTATGAGATGCTTGATTAAATGGCCAATGATTACGCTGGAACTGCTGTGCATTCTTTCCTGTTGATGCTGTGATGTAACTGCTTTCCACACCACCAAGCTCGTTGGTCTTGCTCTCCCTCCCTCCCATATCTATGAGGAGGGACTCACATTTTTGTTCTCATCTGGTTACTCAAGGATGTTGAACGTACTGTAACACAACCCGATAACCCAGGTTATTCTTGAATGTCCACTCCTTTGTTGAGAATCAAAATGTGCATTAGGAATTGAGGGCCCTTTGTGTTTGACTGTGTTCATGTTTGTTTAGTTACCCTACAGTTTGAGTCACACATTCAATTTAAAGAACAAAAACAATAGCTGCTAATATCTATAGACGCAATGCCTTCATAATTTTGTTTCATCACGTTTAACAATTTAGGGAGTCCAGAGCCAATAATTTGAAAATCTGGTCCTAGACCAGTGATGGCGAACCTGACACGCGAACTCATTTTTTTGGTTGATATTTCTTTGTTAAATGGCATTTAAATATATAAAATAAATATCAAAAATATAATCTTTGTTTTACTATGGTTGCAAATATCAAAAAATGTCTATATGTGACACGGCACCAGAGTTAAGTTAGGGTTTTTCAAAATGCTGACATGCCGAGCTCAAAAGGTTCGCCATCACTGTCCTAGACACAGCTATGTCATCCAAAATGGCAAGACCACAAACCTGGGAAAATATAAGTTACATTTCTTAGTTTTGGGTTCCTAATTCAAAGGTCGGAGAGGGAGGCTGTTACCTGTATCCCAATTGACAGGCATCGATTTTTCTTAAAGTGATCCTTCTTCCTGTCCTCTGTAGTGATGGTGGCTATGGTGGTCGTGGTGGTGATGGTGGCAGGGTTGTTGCCCATGTGTTGACTTGCAGGGCCGTGGATCTGGGCATTGGCGGCTTCGATGGCGGCTGTCAGAGCCTTCATACTGTCCAGGCTCTCCGTGGAGTTGCTCAGTCCAGACTGGCTGATAATATCTCCTCGCTGGCCCTGTCCGTCCATGTAGGCATCCTGGGCAGACTCTGTGCTACTCTGGGCTGTGATAGAAATGAAAGGTTTCGTGGTAGTTCTGGGTGGGACTGGAGGTGGTGTCTTCTTATATGTTGTAATGCAAGATGACACTGGAAGACAGTGAAAACAAAGACACTGTGATTTCTGCATGGGTTTTAATTTCTGATATTGTAACTGACATCCATTGGAAATTAGGGCACATGAAACACACTAAGACACTTAACAAGAACACAAGTCCATTAACAGACTAAGTGAGATTCCTGGTTGGGCCCTTAGGGCCTTTCATGAGGTGACACCCCTACAAAACTGAGGGGACAAAAGACCGAAAAACACCAACCTCTGAGATGGAAGTTTCTGAAATGGAAATTAATATGAGTCAACATAAAGTAGACATGATTAGCCATCTGTAGAAATCTTCTCAGGCAACAGTGCACCCTGAGAGATAATATATGCACATAGATAAGGCCAGGGTAGTCTCCACCTTCTCAGGAAAATATTAAATATAAGTAATATTAAACCAAGTAACTCGTTAAAGAAGATTCTGATGGTTGATAATAAACATTGGGAAAAGAAGGAAAGCATAGAACAGTATGAGGTGCCTGGGTAGGGGGTGGGGGATATACAGCATATTATCATAGGTTCCTGCAATTTGCTTTTATCAACATCAGTCTTTCTTTTTCTTCTCCTTCTCCTTCTCCTTCTCCTTCTTCTTCTTTCTCTCTTCTCTCTCTCTCTCTCTCTCTCTCTCTCTCTCTCTCTCCTTTCTGTCTCTTTCTCTCTTTCTGGATAGAACTACATGAACTTTTGTTCTGATTTTTTTGGTTGTTGTTTCTGAGCAGATCTACCTATTGAGAGGCAATACACTGCACCAAAGTCTCCTTTAATTGTAACATAAATGTACACACTAGTTTCTAAATCAGTCTCTGTGTCTGTTTGAGTCCACTCCCTGATGTGCTGTCCTTCAGGGCGACTTGATCACCTCAGGGCCTGCACCTGCGCAGTGAGGTGTCTGTGGACCTGGTGAGTTAGCTGAGGTCCTCCTGAGGCTCCAGCTGAAGCAGGCTCCAGCCATCTAATTCAGCGGTTCTCAACCTGTGGGTCTCGACCCCTTTGGCGGTCGAACGACCCTTTCACAGGGGTCGCCTAAACCATCCTGCATATCAGATATTTACATTACGATTCATAACAGTAGCAACATAACAGTTATGAAGTAGCAACGAAAAGAATTTTATGGTTGGGTCACAACATGAGGAACTGTATTTAAAGGGCCAGAAGGTTGAGAACCACTGATCTAATTGTAACGCTGAGGGTCTTGAAGAAGCTTTACACACTGGCTTTCAGCTTTCCATTTGTGTAGCACGATATAGGAAAATGCAGATCAAAATGAGTTATTAAGTGTCCAAATGGGAACTCCTTGCCAGTGAACAATTTCTTTACCAGCTTTCTAAAGACTTTTGTTTAGTCCCTTTAAAACATAGCTAGAACTATTGGGTTTCCATCACTTTCTCCCCAGCCCCACCGCCACCCCCACCTCATCCATGCCTTTTCCTCTCAGCTGGCGTCCCTGCTGTTATATCAAATCAGCAGGTCCTGACCACACAACCCACCCCCTTACCTCTGGCTCTAACTGGCACTGGGGCCATCATGTAGAAGGAAACATTCACTTCAATTCTTAGGATGCTTCCCAAGGCCACTCAAAGGAAGCATCCAATAATGACCAATAAACAGAAAGACCCTATTATGTTGTCCTGATGCTCCACTGCCCTGTGATTCAGAGTGATTTCCTTAACCGTAAAAGACATAGGGACAGAGATGTTTGGCTACTTCTCAGGGATTGCCTGACAGTTGAAGGAAAACACACACAGAGATGTCACATTACAATATCATATGTGCTCTTGAGGAAAGGGGGAGGGTAATGTGAATAATACACATGTCACCTCTCAGTTACCTGGGAAGGATGCTGGTAGAGGCTCAGCCCAGGGAAACCTTCCATTTAAGATTATGGCATAAAACATACAGCTTTGCATGGGAACAGAGCTCAACAGTCAGCAGTCCTGAGAGGCAATGTGTCCAGTGGAGACTCACAGAGCCTGCAAGGTGCAGAGCCAGGAGCAGAACCAGTCTGGTCTCAGGTTCTCCCCAGGGCCACAGTGAAGCTTCTGGCCAAGTCACGCGAGCATGAGCGTTGTCAGTATTCCACCTCACCCGCTGTGGTTCCATGCACTGTCACTACTGGGGCACTACCTTGTGCTCCCCAGGAAGGTCTGAACAGGATAGCCCTGCTTAGGGTCATGCTGAGACCAGAGTGGGTGGGAGGAGGAGTGACCATAACTAGGATAGAATCTGTCTATTTGAACCAAATGAGATTAGATCACTTTATTACTTTTTCTAAAACAAATCTTTACAATGTGAACTCATTATTTTCTTAAAAATGGATTCCCAGGACATTTGGTCACTCATATTCCAAAGAAACTCAATGCCACATTCCAACATCAAATGTCTGATCTTTTGAATGATTTACTGCTTTGTGGTTAACTACCCCAATTTTCTCTTTTAATGTAGACGGTCAAAACCGGACAAAGCAGACAAATACAGAATCGCTTCCTTTGCTGTGATGTACAGTAAAAAGTCTGCCCCGATGTGCTGAGTGTGATATGGAGGTGGAGGGGCACCTTATTTCCAGGGTAATGACTGGGCTTGGAGCCACTCGTTAGGGCCCATTGTAATTTGGTGGCATCTGAGGGCTGTTGTTGGCTCCTCTTCGATATCCATAGGGATAACTCTGGCTGCTGAAGGGAACCAAAATTTTGACACCGGGAAACTGCTTTTAGGGACATTGATCTTAAGCTGTTTATTAAGAAACAAAAATCTCAGAAAGAACCTTTGCTCTCCCCTCCGCTCCCCGCCTCCCTCTTTCCTGCCCAAGAGATGCAGACTGAGAAACCTGCTTTGGGAAGGGAGCTTTGGCTTAATCACTGTAAGAATCTTCACCCTAGCAGGAAGACTCCACACCTCTCAGCTGGATACCCATTGTTTCTGAGTTGCCCAGCAAGAATTTGCCTGCTCTGTATGTTTGCCTCCTCCTCAACTACCTGTAAATCACCCATTCTCACTTCTGACATCTAGTCCCCTGTTGCCCCCTCCCCTTTCTCCTTGGTTCAGAAATGTCTTATATACCCCATGTTGCCTCATGGTCTTCATGCCTATGTGCATTCTCCATTCGCATGTATTAAAACTTTGATTTTTGACTGTTATTCTATCTCTGTTAATTTGATTGTTAGCCCAGCCAAAGAGTGGGAGAAAAAAGTATTCATATATTTTTTAGCCCCCACAGTACGTTGACCAATGGGGACTTCCAGAGAGCAGCAGCAATGCCACAAGTCCACCATGGCTAGGTTGGACAGGGAGAGTTCTGGGGACATGTCTTCCCTAACAGGCTGGCCCAGCCCCAGTGCCTGAAGGAAGTAAGAACTTAAGACTGTCCCACTTAGAATAAGGGAGCTGAATAGAGGACAGGACTCATTGGCTGTGTTTTTATCCTAGGGGCTTTGTGATGAGGTTACTGTGGTGTGGAGCTTGTCACAGTGCTACCCCAGGAATCACAGTCAGGCACCACCTGTCAGTCATCAAATAGGTATTAGGAGTTCAAATCTCCAAGACTGCCGTTTGAAGTAGAAGAAAGAAGATCCAACACACAGCTCACAATTCTCACAACTCCCTTCTTTCTTGTGCCCCAAATCTTTTGCATACAAGGTTGCTCTAGAAACTCATACGACTAAATCCCCCAATTTCCCCAGCATTACTCTTCCCTAGCTTTTCAGACTAAGCCCTAAACCCTTCTTCTCTCCTAAGTTTTTGGTTTTTTTTCATTCTACTCGCATGATTCAATAACACGAATGACTTAGAATCCATTGAGATCTGAGAGCCAGGAAGAGTATGGTAGAGGAGGGTATTAAAAAACTGGTACATCTGCACAATGGAATACTTCGCTGCTATAAAAAAGAAGGAACTCTTACCGTTTGCAATAGCATGGATGGAACTGGACAGCATTATGCTAAGCGAAATAAGCCAGTCGGAGAAAGATAAATATCACATGGTCTCACTCATTTGTGGAATATAATGAACAACATAAACTGATAAACAAAAATATTTTAGAAAATAATAAAAGTAATCCTGATATTTGCAGATTTTTAATATTTCCTACAACTTTTGTGATATTATACTATGTTAGTACAGTTCTGGTAATATTATTATATTTAAAATATTAATGTTTATTGCACGTAATATATTTAAATGGTTTTTCTTGAAATATTAATGTTTATTGCATGTAAATGGCTAATTATTTTGTATCTACAATCTGGTAAATAGATTTATTTTGTATATTGTAAAAAAAAAAAAAAAAAAAGAGCCCTAGCTCGTTTGGCTCAGTGGATAGAGCGTTGGCCTGCGGACTGAAGAGTCCCTGGTTTGATTCCTGTCAAGGGCACATGCCTGGGTTGCAGGCTCTATCCCCAGTGGGGGGCATGCAGGAGGCAGTCAATCAATGATTCTCTATCATTAATGTCTCTGTCCCTCTCCCTTCCTCTCTGAAATCAATAAAAATATATTTTTTTAAAAAAGAGCACACATAAGTCAGGTGGCCATAAAGCAGATGTAGGATCAAACCCACTTTCTGCATCTTCTTATTAATGGGTTCTCACTGTCTAAGCTAATAGGTCAGATACTATAAAGCTATGCTGAAGAATTATTTAGCAGTTCTTGGTTACTAAATTTTAGAAAGTCTTTCGAACCTAAGAACAAGCCCATAAGAGTTGATTGTGCACATCTCTTCCCAAATCTGTGTTCAGTGACATTTCATTAATAGCTTGAAACTGAACTTGGCCTGAGTGTTTACACCATGGAAATTGGCAGATACTATAAATCAGTAGTTGTCCCCTGGAGAGCCTACTGTTAAGCATTTCCAGCACATCTCAGTGCATAGCGGTTCTATTTAAAATGTGGTCCACAAATAGGTATCGATTCACAAACTATTCGATGAGTGCATGGTGAGATACACCATGAAAATTGAAAATAAGCTTTTAGAAACTTTTCTAACAGTTCTACAGAGTAGTTTGTCAGTTGATTCTAATGAAAACTGCTCTTGTTTTTGTGTGCCTTTTTTTAAATTTCCTTTTCCTAGTAATTCATTTTCATTGCATTTTACCAAAGTATTTTTCTGCAACAGATTGGACATCAAACAAACAAACTGGTCTATCACTGGAGATAGTTTGAGAAGCATCTGGATAGAGAAGCATAGGAAATATTTCAAATCCAGTGGATAGGGCAGAGGTAGTGCATGTGAGATTAAGGACATATTAGAGAAGTAACTTGAAACTACAGGGAACTTTAGAAAGCAAAATGACATAAAAAAGCCAAGAAAAATGTGGAAGGATCTAAACTTGGGACATAAAGAGTTTCCTGCACAATTACAGGATGGACTTGTGGTTTTAATGTCAGGCAAGTTGCTTATTTATAATGTGTACGAAAAGGGGCCACATACTCAACCTGACAAACTCAGGAAAGGCCTGTGTGATGGCCTTACAATCTCAGAAACCTAAATAAACCACATAAGATGGTCTGAAATTAAAACTTTCTAACTAAAAGCAGTTTAGTCATGTCCTAGGCTAGAATTTTCCCTGACAAAGATCAATCTTCACTTTAACTAAGCCTGTGTATTGTCTTTTTGCATTCTAGGATAACATACCTGATAAAATTGCCTTTGCAAAAACAAAGTAATTTCCCTTTTTCCAGACCTCTCAAAGCACAGGTACCACAGCAGAGTAGAGACCACAAATCCCCTCATTGTCATTGTTATCATGTTAGTTGTTGGCTGTTCACTATCCGGTCTGAGGACAGAACGGCTAACAGAGAAGTTCACTGCTGCTGCTTCCCGTCAACAGGCCCGAAGTGCTGGCCTTACAGTGAATTGTGGAGGGTGTGGCCTCCATGGTGGTTTATCACACAGGCCGGACTTCCCCACCTGATGCCAATCAGTGGCCTGGCCTGAGTCCTTCACAGGATAAAAGCACAAATCCAGGTGTAAACAAAGACGATGAGATGGAGAATTCCTCCATACCCCTCGGTGGGCCATTAGATCAACCTCAGCACCAGAGAGTGACCCGTACTCTAACACACACTGCGCTAAAAATCCAACAGACCTGGTCTAATGACAGAGGACGAGCTCACTGCCCCCATTGTTTGATGGTAAGACTGAGGCTCACAGCAGGTTAAGGTATGCAGCTACTAAGTGATACAATTAGCATACGCAGGGCTCCAAATCGCATCTCTTTTCCTTCACCCAAACCACCTGTATTCATCCCCCTGTGAAACTATCCATTTCAACACCTGGTCCAGTGAAGCCTGATGCCTTCCATCAAAAACTGCCAGGAAACTGCTCCTGGCACAATCCTTTGTGCCCTGCAGGAACCTGTCAAAGGTTTGGAGAGTGAATGAATTTGGAGTGGTCAACAAGGGTGTACCAGCTACAACTTTAAAAACACTGCAAAAAGGGGAGAAATTCCACACACACAAATACACATGGAAAAAATCACTCCTGTGTTTCAAAATATTTACAGCATAACATGTACAGGCCACCCAGAGTGTGGTGGTCAGTGGTCGCTGCCCTGCCGGCGTCACGGTGAGAAGGTAGAGGGCTGAGGTGTGGGGGGCTGGGCTTCTGGGACAGGAGCAGGGCTTCCCCTCGCCTTCTCTCCTGGTTAGTTTTGGCTCAAGGGACGTAGCTATGAGAACGATTTCCACTCAAGTCATCCTCCACGGAAACCACAAAGACCAGCTAACCTTTTCTCCATGGAAGCAGAAAAAAAGCACGCTTGTGTGAGCGCGTCGGGGGAGGACAGGGAATGTGGACAGAGAGGGAGGGGTGGTGTAATAACTCTTGTAGTCATAAGACTTGCCAGTTGGTAGTTACTAGTATTCCAGACACTTCCTAATGCCAGACAAATGCCCCAAGCCCGGGCATGTCTGGCTCAGAGATCTGTTCAGCTGATAGCAGCCGTTTCTTGTGGGGAGAACAGATCTTTCAGGGAGCAGTGCTCTGAGGCTAATCAAACACAACATTGTTCTCAGAAGGGAGACTGGAAAGGTTTGTTTCAGTCACTTTTTTTTAAGAGGCACTCAAGTTGTTTTAACAAGTTGCTACAAAACGTGGGCTTCCTGAGGTGAGCCTGTTGCTCACAGTGCCTGCACTGTACCAAAATCCAGAGAGGGAGGGATCAGAAAGTTAGTCATAAAAAAAGGGGGGGGGGGAGAGCCCCAGGCACAAGGCGTAGCCACTCCTCTGTTAGAACCACAATCAAACAAGGCTCAGGCAATCCTCGCAGCTGCTCTCCAAATGTCAGCGCCAGCCGTCAACACAGCTTGAAAGCCACCCAGCTGAAGGACTTTGTGCTGTACCTTCTCGCCCACATTTTCCCCGAGCACTCCCAGGAACCTGGCAACAGGTAACGTGGCAACCTTTGCTTTATAAAATGGCAAGTGGCATAATTTCAGAGAAAAATGGATGTTTTTCAAGTCAGCTGTGTCTCCCGCACCAACCCCATCCCCAACCCCCCTCCCTCCCAACCGAAAGTCTGGGAAAACAAAGTAGTACTTTGGGACTGGCAACCGTACTCTCTAGTGTCCCCTGGTGGCCAAGATTGGAACATCACTGATGTACCGTGAAAGCGGCAGCTCTGCTCCAAGGTAAGTCACGCTGTAGAAAGGGGTGGACATTTTTGCAGGACTTGTCTTCCAAAAAAAACATACAGAGTGGAAGTTAAGACTCAGAATGTCTTGATTTTTAATTTATTGCCTTAACAAAAATTTTACTCTAGCTGCAAGGTAAGATCTCTGGGTCGAGGTTGCAGAATTTTAAAAATTATATATATTTTATTATTCTATTGGTTTCAGAAATGAAGAGAGAGAGAGAAAGAGAAACATCAATGATGAATCATTGATAGGCTGCCTCCTCCATGCCAACACTGGGGATCAAGCCTGCAACCAGGCCTGTGCCCTGACTGGGAATCAAACCATGACTTCCTGGTTCATAGGTCGACACTCAACCACTGAGCCATGCTGGCCAGGCCAGATTTATTATTATTATTTTTTTAAGCAGTAGCCAGTGTAACATTTTTTTTGTTAAGATGGAAAGTTGAAAAGCAAGAACTGCTGTAGCCATTTGGTCTGATGGATGGCAGTGAGGATTCCTGCTGGGTGAGACATGCATTTTCCATTTTAATCCAAATTTGTATGTTGACGGCAGAAAACCTTTCTCTCTGGCAGGAGCATTTGTAATTCACTTTGCTGGCTTCCCCATTTGTCTGTTTGTGAGGATTACTTAGGATTTCCAGGCTGAAGGCCCAGCCTCCCAGAGAGCAGGCCTTGCAGCCTCACCTTAGTGCTTTTATCTCTGTGTGGGGCAAACACCCACAGAAATGCCCAGGGCGATGCTTTCCACCAGTCTTCTTCCTCAGGTTCTCCCTCCTCTGCTCGGTCTTCGATTTGGAGGCTGGACCACAGTTGGGAGCTGCTGGTGCTTCCGGCCAGTTGCAAGGGCGGCCGTTCTTTCTCCCTCTCTGGAAATGTTAACTGGAAACTAAGAAAGAGGCTCAGATCAAAGGAGCTGTTCTCTTCAAAAGTTCCATTAATTAACTAAATTAAAGGAAGTTAAGTGCTGTTTGGAGGAAAGTCATTTTAGAAGGCCCAGGTCCAGGGGCTGAGGTCTCAAACTTGTAATGTGGACTTTTAATGAAGTTTGGCAACAAGTTAAATAGTATTAGAAATTGAGGGTTACCATATGTAAAGCCAGTTGTTGCCTGAAATCAGTCATTTCAAAGGAACATCTTGAAAGTAGACATTTGGCTAGAATTTAATACTAAAGATGAAAAACCCAGGGCTCTGAGTAAGAGTCATTTGCCCAGTAGCTAAGGTGAGTCACAGCCTCTGAGAACTAGGCACACATGTTGAAGTCAGGATGTCGAGAACACGGGGCTTACTAATGTGCAAGGCAGGGCTGTTGCTTCCAGTAGTCTCTTTCACGGCTCATTTTCCCGGCCTTTCCAACAGGTGCAATTGAGTCATCCAGGCACACAAGTGACTGTGCTGGCAGTAGCATCTGTTGGGATTGAATGTCCATTTGTTCCATTACTTTATGAAGTGATTTCTACCACTGAATCAGATATGTCACTTCCTCTAGGATTTAGGGATTTTTTTTCCCTTGTTTGTAACATGATGTGTCTTTCAAAGTTTGTCGCAGCAAGGTCTGCAGGCCTTCCTGGGTTGAATGGACTGTTTACAGGAGGGGAAGATCCAGGGCCCAAGGTCAGGGTTACCGAATTATGTAAGGTTTCCTGTTTGTTCCAACTCCTCAGGTGAGGGTAGACCAAGTTTTGTTGAGAGACAGCATGCCGAGGAGGCTGGGGTAAGGGGAGTGCCAGAGCAGGGAAGGACATTTTTCTTTTAAGCTTCTCATCAACAAGCTTTCATTCTTCTCAGATGTCACTTCTCAGAAATATGCTCCCGTATTCTCTTCTGTGAATTCCGCCCCCCCCCCCGCCCCCGGCCCCCACCAGACCGAGAGAAAGGAGTTAACTAGGGATGTAAGAATCACAAGGTCAGCATTGTTGTCTGTTTTATTCATAATATGACCACAGTCCTTAGAACGTGTGTGGCACATAGTAGTAGCGTGTGTGGAAAATACTTGTTACACGAAGGAATGAATAGGAATGTGAAGAGACTTCTTGGCAAAAAGAAAAAGGGACCAACAAGGAGGTCACCAGGGCTCAAGTCAAGTGAATACTCACCAAAGTTATTCTCAGTGAACTTGGATGTTGTAATATAATCTCCTGTCACCAATGTCCACTTCTGTTTTGCCATTGGCCAAATGCGATTGTGGCTGGCCAGCCTTTGACATGGAGTTAGTATGGGAAAAATCAATCTATTATCAGCGGAAACCGGTTGTTCCTATGGGTTATCCACCTAATTTCCTCTATCCTCTCTGGTTGGCTTTGTCTGTAGGCACTGAGCGGATGGCTGTATGAGGGGTCCCTGATGCTAACTGCCCGCATCCCGTGCAGCTGCCCTTCTTCGCCTCAGTTCCTTTCACTCCTCATTATTCTGTGGCTTATTCTGTGCTCTCCTGCTTGCACAAGATGCGTATCTGAGAGCCAGGGAACTTTCTTTGCCTCTGGTCTTCTTTCATGAGAATTTGTACTACCTGCACCATGGAACCTGGAGTACAAGAAAAAACCTGGAGTGTAATCGGACAACTAAACAGGACTCTCCTGCCATGTAGCTGTGTGTCTGGTAAACAAAATAGAACTCAAGGGTACCTGCCCCAAGGCTATATATGGGATAATGGTTGATTCTAGATGGGAGCAAGGTATTGGGCGTATGTTGCCAACCTGCCTCCCTGGAGAAGGTGAGATAGACAAGCAGACAGAGTGACCCGTGTACACACCAGGGTAGGTCATATCTAATGAGAGTCCAGTTAGGCTGAGTCCAAACTAAAGCTTCAGGCTGGATTTATCAGTAACCTCTGCTCACTGGCAACCTCTCTGGGCTTTGGAAAGGAGGCAGGCCTATTAAGCCAGCCCTCTGCTGCTGCCCTGTGGACAGAGGGCCGGGAGGGAAGGCTGGACCTGGAACAGAAGTTTTTGCACAAGGCAAACTCAAATCCCCAAACCTGGGAAAACAGGATGTGTGGGGAAGTAAAGAAGAAAGAAAATGCATCCACCATTCCTTCCTGTTGGTTTCAGCATGATGAGGAATAATTACCTGGGTCTGGAGAGCTGGGCCTGTGGGAGGCCACAGGAGGCCCTGGGCTGGGCAGTTAGGCAGTTAATTATTCATCCTACTCCTTTCCTCTTTCCTCCCTGAAACCCATCCTTTAAAAGTTAAAACAGGAAAAACTCTCTGGGTTAGCCTGTGGAAAACTGTTTGCTCTGCTCTTCACTGACTCTCAAGTAACAGAATCAGCACTTTAAAATGACACCTCGTTATCCAACTGTGTCACTGGCTGATGACACAGATCCAGAGAAGAACCTGTCCAGGTGCCGGTGGGGCTCTCTGTCCGCATCACGAGTTCAGTCCTCGCATGATTACAGTTTGAGTGCAAAGGGCCACTTAAAGGTGGCACTGAAAATTCCACTTTACAGTTGGGTTTTTATCATTTGCCAAAATTAAATAAAAATAACCCAGGACACTGGTGTGGCCAGTACTAAAGTTTGGATCAATTCACTCTGCCCACCTCCCACCGTCACCCTCATTCCCTGGATGTAATAAACCAGGTGCATCCACAGGCCCAATTCCCCACCTGACAAGGAGGTTGGAGAGTTTGGTTGTCCATGTTCTCCAGGGTGGAGTCTGGCTGGAACTGGGTTTTTCCCATCTAAGCCTCTTAAGATCACCTTTGAACCCTTGTGAGAACAATGTCTGAGTCCCAAAGGCAGTATTGAATATGTTTTGGTCTGATGTGCTTGGAATTCAGAACTTTGGGGGCTGTAGAAAGCTAATAGACATGACACACCAGGGGGGCTGGGGGAACACCCCTTAATCTCGTATTCTAAGCCAGCGGTCGCCAACCGGTGGTCCATGGACCACTGGTGGTCCGTGAGGTCTGAATGGTTGGCGACCGCTTCTTTAAGGAAACCTTTGGAGCAGTGGTCGCCAACCGGTGTCTGCAGGAGGCAGTAGGACATTCACACTGCAAGTAGTTCCAGGGTCAGGTTTGGGGCAATGGCTTTCAGAATTGCAGGTGAAGGAATAACATCCACCTAGCCCTTCAGATGCCTTGGAGCAGTTCCCTTCCAGGGCTTCCTTCAGAGGCAGCTCTGGTCCTGGATGGAGCCCTGTTCCCACCAAGCCCACACAGAGGGTGGCAGATGGTGTTGGACTTGGCATTGTGGGTGGGCAAGGTTTCTATAGCTTTAAGGAAAAGAGGAATCTAAGATCAGATCTCATAATCCTCATATGTCTCTTTCCTTGACCTCATTGGAGTTTTGGATGTTTATTGGTTTATCCCTATCAGAAACATCCACTATTGTTTTTGTTATAATGGTCATCGGAGCACTAGCGGGGGATTTTAACTGGCCTCTTCCCACAAGGTGGACCCCTCTGTATACAAATTAGAGAACGGGGTAGTGTGATGTGTTCTTAGAAACACTTCATATTTGCAAGGTTGTGTGCCTGTGTTTGAACACATCCTTTCCATCAATCTCTTCCTCATTCTTATGACTTGACAGTGCAGTCCATAAATCAACATTCTTTCCTTGGCCACCATAATTTGCAGTGACAGGAGGGTGGCCCATGCTAGGTCCAGGCTGGGCGCAGCACTAACCTGATGTAGCTCAGGACACTCACCTAAAAGTTTATCTGCAGTGGCACTCATCATTCATTAGCACATTGCCTACCGACAGTTTGAACATCACTTTCAAAACACACCTCTAGCCCGAATTAAAGAATA